TGAAGGCACAGATGTGATAATTTGAAAAGGTTTATCCGTATATAATATTCAGATTTAAATTCTAAAGATCCTTTAATTGATAAAATAATCATACAAAAATATAAATAATATAATTTTTATTTTGCTTTGTTAAATCATATTGAATTTTTTTGATGAGTCTTAAAGAAGTATCTTATTTAAAATACGAAGCCAAAAAAATCATTTTATATGAAAATTATATAATGAATTTTAAAGAAGTACCGTAGTTTATAGTATAAGTTTTCATCATTTAATCATAACATAGCCAATAGGACTAAAAAGATTATTTGGAATATCTTTCAGAGATTTTGCTATCGGATACTTCTTATGAATATTTAAAAAAAGATGATGATTTGGAGGATCAGAATATTGAATACTTGCGAACATAGGTTTTGGATGCACAAACACATTCCACCTATTGCCAGTGAATGTACGACTATTTTGACCCAAAGGCAAAGTATTATAGGATCTATATGTCCAATTATTCGCGGTTGCGCTATTAACAATAAAATCAGGATTGTTTTTTGTGATAATAGCATAATTAACCTCAAATAATAGTGTATTACAAACTAGATCTGTTTGAAGATCATAATGATAACATTGTAATTGTATATTATCATTAAGTTGACGAAAATGATAACTAATTACATCTTTTGATCTTCCGAAATTATATCCAGGAATATCCCTACATTTTAATATAGGAGTTCCAATAATACAGTCATTTTTCAAATTTTGATGATCGATTTGATTATCGCCGTCGTATTGATATCTTCTAGTGTAAATATGGTCAATTGAGTTATCTTGAAATTTTCCAATTGGTAGGTCTTCTTCGTAACCGATCAGCATATAGGGGATTAAGAGATTAAAAGGCTTTTTTGGTTTACCCATACGATGTATTACAACGTATGGGTTCTCATCATCCATATATTCGACCCGAATTACGAACACGTTACGATATGGTTTAGTTTGGTTCAATACAATTACGGAGGTAAAAATCTTAACATTATTAAATGTCGAAATGATTTGCGGTTTTGGTATATGATGAGTCACAGTAGTCTTGCCTCTTGGAATATGAACGGATAAAC